CAAAAAAAAAAAAAAAAAAAGAACTGCAATAAAAAAAGACAGATTGTTAACATGCAATACTACTCCCAGGAAAGAGGCTAATGAGATTCTTGTCTGCTTGTCCACAGGACCAGCCATCACAGTGTTTTGAGGCTGGGAGTCTGCTGTCCCTCTTAAAATCACTCTGTGAAACAATGTGTGACAGGGCGTCTGGTTCTCTGAAGCTGAATGGTGACACTGTCTACTTAGCCAGGCTACAGCAGTGGAAGAGGATGCTGATTAACTGGCTTGAGGGAGATGCCCCATTGGAAGGTTGAAAATGATTTGTGCATAGGCTAGGAAGCCATGGTTGCCAGGGCATGGCAAGGAAGAGCAGACACCTATCTAGGGCTCTGGAACATAAACATGGGCTCCTGGATTTTGACTGAAGAGGATGAGGTCAACAGCTGAACTGCATCAGGCATACTCTGTCCAAGTTTTATGAATTAACCCATTATAATGTAAAACATAGGAGATCTTGTCCCATTTCTTTCCTGAAAAGGTGAATTTATTTAACTTAAATATTTGACTTAACACTTTTATAAACAAACAAAACAAAAAACAAACAACTGATTATATGTTTATTTTTTGCCTAGATGAAAAAGGAGCTTACAGATGTAGAAGGACAAGATGAAAAGGCAATGAGATAAAAAACAGATTAGGAGAGAGAAAATGTAGGGTGCCATCCTACCTCCCTGGTACTAGTATTCATTTTGGAACACAGCCACATTTCTCCGTTCTCTGGAATCTTGATTCCACCAGTTGTCCCAGGGGCCACACTCACCTCCCTGGGGAAAGTCAAATGAAGCAATGATGTTGAATTGATTAAAAAAATTGCTGCAAATATTATATCCAAATGCGATATCTGACTAAAGCACGCAAACTCGTTTCTGATCAGTAATTGTTCATGAGAAGAAATGCACCAAGAGGAGAGGCAGATCAGAGATAGTAAGTAACTCACTACAGGGAGAATGCCAATTCCACTCTTGAAATGCTAATTTAAAATTTTCCATATTTACTATAAAGGAGGTTAATATCCTGCACCTTTGCAAAGGACCTATTGATATGTCTCATATTCACTGAGTACTTAACAAATCCAGTTATCTAACTCCATGCAAGGAGGAAATCATTCTCCTGTGAACTGCCAGTGTGCTCAGGTCAGCACTTCTCATGCCTGGAGTGACTTGGGTAGGGCTGCCATATACAGACTCCTTACACTGTATGTTATGCAACTTTGGTGCAAAATTTATATAGACCTCAATGAGTATGGCATCCTCAGAGTTGCTTAATTAGAGACTCCAATTCTTGGAGTATAATTTTTTTAACAAAATATTTTGGGGGTGCATTATTCTCTTTTTCTTCAAATTAGGTTCTTATAGGTGAGATCATTTTTGTTTTCTCTATCCAACAAATATTGAAAGTAATTTATTACAAATCTCTTTTAAAGATAGCTTCTTTCAACTTCCCATGGAAAAAACTTCCTTTCTGTACCTGTTTCTCTTACTTGGTGTCAGAAAAATATGACTGTGATGTGTATAAATTTGGACACCTAATTTTTCTCGCAACAGAGCTTCCCTTGTGTCTAAAGAAAACCATTTTCAATTTCCAGTGGAAAAAAATTTCAAAAGAATAATAACATTTCACTTCCTTGATTTGCCTAATTCTTATCATTAGCAGTTGCTAAAAATTGATGACACTGGTGTTACTTTTCTGTGAGATTGAAGGCCGATGTACATTTTGGTATTGCATATTTACTCTTAATGGATTAGGTACTTCCTAAAATGCAAGATTTGGGGAAATGTGTGTGTGTGTGTGTGTGTTTATCTCTCTGTACCTGTTCTAAATTTAGTCTATTGGAAGTTGTAGTTCTGGCAGAAACTCCCATTATATTGATAATTTTATGAATTTTTAGTGTCATCTATTCTCCAGAGTTAAGAAAGGAGTGATTGAATATTGTCTGATTATTTTTTTGTGAGTTACCAAATTTAATATTTTGATCACTGCCAATCATTTATCTGGGAGCAACTTTAGCCATGTTGTTCTTTAAACTAGACTGAAGCTTTGAGAAGTAACAGTGATGGTATTCTTTTTCTCTACAAGAGAGCATTTCCAGAGAATACAATTTCCACAGTTTGCCAAAATGTCAATGGATTTAGCTTGTGTTACTCAAAGAACTAATGACATCTTCAGGAATCCCTTGGTCATTATTTTAATCAATAAGTTTACTACCTAGGGATTTCATTTATTTTGCATTTCTCATATTCTTTCATGATATTTATACTCTCCTTCTTGCTCCATTGGGTATATTTGAAAGCATTACTTCCTCCCCAATTTGGGGATCTCTTCTATTCTTGAGTTCTCTGTTATATTACTAATTTGTAAATCTCTTAGCTGTCATGCATGGCTAAGCTAATTTGAGCTATATCTCTATGCTTTACTACAGATATTATTGTGTCAATTAAGAAAATAACTAACGAATTAATCTTTTGAATCTTAGATTATTAGTTACAATATCATATAAAAATGTTACTTTCCTTTAGATGCCATTTGGAGTAGATTTTGCTATTTTTTTCCTGTGATTGTAACAGCTTGGTGGAAAGGATAATCAACCAAATATGAGACAGGAGATATGAGAGTGCCAGTTTAGTCATGAAGCTAGGAGATAATACAATCGTATTTAGAGAAATTTACTCTGCAAACAATTTCAACAAACCAATAATTCTATCTAAAAACTAAAGTTATTTTTTTACCTATCATTTCTCGATGGGGTCTAATGTTGGGTCAGTGATTTCACTCTATGAATACCATTCATGTTCTGTTTTCCTTTCCTACCCACCTACTCTACAACCAAGTGAATATGGCCACTGTGGGATAAGCAGACACTGAGAGATACATAGGCTCATATGTCTAAACTTACTTCGCCATTTAAAGCTAGATTGACCTGTGTATCAGAGTCTACTTTACTGTCAATTATAGTTTACTTTTTTTTTAAAAGTATGTTTTCTCTTTTCAACAAATGTTATTAGTACATCTACAGTTTGTCAAAATACCTTAAATAATTAAGGGGTGAGTTTATTGGCTTTGTTTTTATACATTTTCACAGTTTATCTCTAAGACCTGGAATTCTCTAGAAGTCTTTAGTGATACAAATAATCCTATTTTCAATTATTTACCAATATGCATTTGGGATCATAATGATTTAGATTTAGCTTAAAATGTATCTTTACAAACAATCATTCATTGATGGAACCTTCCAAATAATTCTTCATAGAGGATGGGATCATTTGCACTTGGAAAGCACCTCATGGTGGCAAGAATTTCCCATATGTTATCATAAATCCTCAGAGTAAATCTTATTATCTCTACTTTTCAGATAAGGAAAATCAAACTAGAAATGGTTAAATAGCTTGTTACTATTCATGTAACTCAAATCCTAGACTGCTGACTCCATCGTTCTTTCTATTACATCAGGTTCCCTCTTGAAATCTGCCCATTAATCTGACTTGGTTGAGGTACTTGAAGAAAGCAATGTATCTTTTCCATTTGTATGTGGACTCTTATGTTAGGAAGACTTAGAGTAACTATTATCTTCGCACGTATAGTGCAAGCTAAATAGGAAATATGTCATGGACGTGAGGAAAGATACCACAATTATGAACACAAATGTCTCCAAACAGTAAATACATGCTTACAGGTGTCTCTTCAAACTTTCTTCACATCATGTGGACATATCTGAATTTTAACATTTTCACTCACTCTTACTCAACTTCTTCTCATCTGGCTTGTCCTTGAGAACATTCTCTCCAGCTCTCTTTATTTGTTAACATGAAATTTATATTTATACATTTACATCTACTTGAACATAAATACATAAAATATATAAAAGACATACATGTCTTATATTTTAATATTTGTGTCTTAAAATATATTTTTAATGTTTTAGGTACATCTTCTGAAATTCTTCAGGTGTACTCAAATGCTCATATCTCTCATTAACGAGAATCCCTCCTTCTTAGACAAGCTGCTTCTAAGGAAATCAAATTACTGTCTTTACTGTTTATTCTTTCAATGTCCATTTATCTTTTAGACATTCATTATTAATCCTTTATTTAATGCATAATTTTGCAATACCTTTAATATCTAAGATCATCTCCTTCCTTATACAATTACTAACTTATAATTAATTAATTTTTGATATCTTGGTTGATTGTATTTTACTAAGATTCCTCCTATGTATTAATTTATGAAACTTTAAAGTTAATACTTACTTTTAAAGAAATTTCCACTATGAACAATTAAGTCTTCACTGTTTGTTTCATTGTTTGTGACTTTTATTTAGTGGATCATGCTAGCTGTGCATTGAATGTTTACTGGTATGAGTAAAGCCAATCATTAATCCATAGATTCTGCAAATCCACACTAAACTCAATGTTTGTGAAGGCCCATCTGCTGTACGTTATGATTATAAAATATTCAATCCAACCCAGAGAAAAGATATTACCCTTAAACACTTTGGGACACCAAATAATGTGCAACTTTTCTTAAAAAAACTTCCATTTCTAAATAAAATCTTTGTATATACATGGACTAAAATTATATTTAAGTGGTTACATCTATTTCTATATTTTTCTGAACTGTATACTTTAAAGTAGTTTACAGTGTGCTGAAATAATGATGATATTAAGGATAAACACAGACAAATATATATGTTCATATACATACTTCATCTTAAAAGCATTAAGTGTCCTCTGCTTCCTCTACCAGCGTGTTTTTGTTCTAAACCATGTATTCTAATTGTCTTTAAATATAAATATTCCCATCCCCAAGGAACAGAGAAACCAGCAGAAGGGGCAGTATACTGAGAAAGGCACTGGTAACCTAAGGGACAATTTTTATCTCAGGAGAACTAACCTTTTAGAGCAAGCAAATTAAATTATCTTTCTCATCCTTTACTTTTGCTGTGACATCATTAAAATTCACATTACATACCAGCACTTGTTGTTTGGTATTCATAGCCTTACACTAAAATTAATCAGTTGTCACAGGGACTTAACACATTTGTTAATGGTGCCTAGCCAAAAAATCTGTATTGTTATAAATAAAGCAGCTTTATGTGTACACCCTTGAGAAAAACAACACAGGAGAATTAACTGGTGGACACTGAACATTCCTCTCTCTTGTGTAGAGAATAGGAGTCCTTATTCTCTTCACTAGTTTTTTACTTAGTACTCCTTTGATGTTTGACATGAAGTTTGTGCCTTAAAAGGAGGAAAAACACTTTTTCTAATCTGATTAATATAGCCTAGGCTCTTAAAAGCTTAATAAATAGATGGATTTATCTATTAAGCACTTATTAAGCTCTAAATTACAGACTAAGAATTTAAACACTGGTGAAGATTCATTTATGGGCAACTCAAAATCATTAACTTTGAAAATCTTACAGTTTTATCAGGCAAGAAATTAGTAAATAGTCTAAGATAGTGTGCTTCAAGTGTTTTAAAAGGAAACAGCACATTCTCATTGAAAGAGCTTTGGGAAATAAAGGATATTGCTCAAGAAGGTCATCTAGGTTTGATTCTACAAATGCTTATACAGACCTCTGTTGTAGGAGTGGGAACTAGTCTGAGGAAGATGTACATTCCTTCCAAGGTAGACAGAACAGCAGAGATGAGGCATGAAGGGGTTAGGTGGTATTCTGGAGATGCTTCAAGCCACTGCAGATGTTAAGGGAAGAGTATGATCTGATCTGGTTTGCAATGTTCTCTGGTGTCCTGGACAGACAATGCAAGAGATCAGCAACAAAGGATGAAGGACGGAATCAATTCACTTTTTCAGTACTTCACATAGGAGTGCATGACAATATGAAAGAAGTTCAAGGTAGGAAGAAAGGGTTGGATAAGGAGAAAGAACCAACATCATCATATTGCCTATAAGTTATGAAAGAAGTCAAGGCAAAAGAAAGATACAGCATCAACTACCTTTCTGTATTTTATATTTGTTCAAGAAAAAGACAAATTGGAAATTTAATCCATGATATATTAAAATAGCATAGTTTTGTAGAAATAATTGAACATTTAATTAGCTAAAAATTCTATAATATTATTTATTGGCCATGTGACTGTCAGTATTCTCCATGTAAGGATCACTAAAGTATGAAGCATATGTGATGCTGAGATAATCTAAAAATACTAGCAAATAATCCCACAAAATGACTAGCACTATACCAGGAAAATGACATTAATTATATGTTAATTATTAAAGCAAAATAATTAATTTATTTAAAAGTGATTTTTTTTCTGTGAATAAGTCACTAAGAAAGAAAACAAAAATTCTGTCATATTTATTAGGAGTCCAAACAAACATGTATGTGTCAGAATGTGCCTGAGAAATGGAGTACAGTAAGAACTTCCTTGAATCAATATTTGATCTCTTTTAGTAAATAAGTTTATTTTCTATGTCAATAAGAAAAGTATTTTAGTAATTTAGAAAGTATTCATAATATGATATGAACTTTTAAAAACAATACAGTATAATATTCTCATTTAGACCCAAAACAATTCCTTGTATTTAGCTACATCTATGAGTTTATGTTAATATATTTTTAGACATATTTGAAAAAACAAGTAAACTTATTAAAAGAGTATTAAAATACATACTGCACTTAATTCCACGGAGAATTAAAGATTAATTTCTCATGCATGTCATTTATTTAAAAATATTTAGTTGACAAAGATTATATATGTTCAAACTGTACAGTGTGATTTCGTATATGTATACATTGTATAATGTTTACCATAAGCAAATGAATAAATGCATCCATCACTTCACAATAACCTAGCGTGTATTCGTGTCTGTACGTGTGATGAGAGCATGAGAGGTCTACAATTTTAGTAAAGTTTGTTTATAAAATACATCCTTATTAACTAGTCAGCTATGGAAATAATCCCTGAAAATATAGCCATTACATTCTCCTTAAGTATAAATATGAGAGCTCCAGAACTTACTCATCTTATAATTTCAAAATCTTACTCATTGGCTGATATTTCCTTACTTTCTACATCCCTAGCAACAGACAACCATTGTTCTACTCTCAACTTTTATCAATTACTTTTCCAGATTCCTCATAAAAGTGAAATCATACAGTATTTTTGTGGTTGGAATATATTGTATATAGCATTTTCCCATGTTTATCTATATCGCAAATGGCAGGACTTCCTTCTTTTTTAAAACCAAAGAGTATTGTATTAAATGTTTATTAATCCATTGATGGGCATGAAAGATTTTTCCACATCTTGGCTTTTGTGAATAATGTTGCCATGCTTGAGTATGGTGAGCCTTTATGGTGAGCCTTGACATAGGCACAGCCATGATTGAACTTTGAGTCACCTCGCCAGCATGGACGTGCTGTCGCCCATAGCAACGGGCTAGTTCAACTGGTGATCTGACCTGTTGCCTAGCAAATGTAACCTATAATACTTGTTTTGTAGAACTCTGTGACCTTTGCAGTCAGCCACATCCTGTTTATACTTTTGGTTTCGGTTTTACCCTATATATACCCCACCTTGAAAAATAAACGGGGCCTTGCTGCAGTAGAGCATGAGCCTGGAACTAAATTTGTGAAACTGCTCTCCTGTTGTTCTTCCCTCAGGTTTGGGACCTGCTGGCAGGATTCTGACGTTGCGGCTGGCGACACTTGAGGATGCAGATACCTCTTCAATTCAATGATTACATCCCCTTGTGATCTAGACACAGAAATGAAATTGCTGAATCATATAGTATATTATTTGTTTAATTTTTCAAAGAAACATTAACTGTTTTTATAATGATCTTCCCAATTTATATCCCCTCCAACAATATATCAGAGTTCCCTTTTCTCCACACCTTTGCTAATATTATATCTTTTATCTTGTTGACACGAGCCACCCTAATGAGTATGAAATGATAGCTCGTTGCTATTTTGATTTCATGGTTCTGATAATCAGTGATTTTGAGCATCTTTTCATATTTCTGTTGATAATTCATGTGTTTTCCTTGGAAAAAATCATCAAGTATTTTGCTCATTTTTAATTAGTTTATTTATTTACTTTTTGCTAAGTTGTATCAGTTGTTTTCATATTTTGTATGTTAACCATTTAGCAGACATTAGGTATGCCAATATTTTCTCTCATTCTCTACATTGTCTTTTAACTTTACTCACTGTATTCTTTACTTTTTAGTTTATAGAAATCACATTTGTTTTTTGTTTTTATTCTTTGGTGCCACATCCAAAACTCATTGAGAAAACCAAAGTCAAGGACCATTTTTTCTGTCTTTTAAAGTAATTTTAGGTTGTCAGATATTATACTGGAGTCTTAAATTATTTAAGTTACATTTTATATAAGTGCAAGACTGGTTCCAAATTCATTGTGTTTAGGCATGATTCTTTTTAAGCATGGTAGATCCAGTTTTACTATTTAAGAGACTTTCCTTTCCTTCTGGTTTATTCTTGGTGTTCTTGTAAAAAAAATAGTTGAATATATACTTGTGAGTATAACTCTTGGTTCTCAATTCATTTCCATAGATCTGGGGTGCATCTATTTTTATATCAGTGCCATACTGTTTCGATTACTATAGTTTTATAAGCAGTTTGAAATCAGTGAACTGATGCCCTATCTTTGTTATTCTTCACTATTATCTATGCTATATGTGGTCTTCTGTGTCCCATGAGAATGCTAGGATTTTTTTTCTATTTTGGTGAAAATTATCATTGGAATTGTGATAGAGTTTTAATTTAATCTTTATATAAATTTGGATATGTGGACAGTTTAACAATGTTAGTTTTGAACATGATATATCTTATTTATTTGTAACCTCTATAATTTCTGTCTTAAAAATCTTATAGTTTTTACTATACATATTATTTATCTTCACAGCTAAATTTATTCCTAAGTATTTTTCTTTTTCAAGTGATTGTAAATGGAATTGATTTTTAAAATTTCTTTCTTGCATTAGTTCATTGTTATTTTGTAATATATAATAAATAAACTTGAAAAAAGGTGAAAAGCTTTCTTCTAACATCAGCAATATGATAAGAGTTTCTACTCTTACCATTTTCCAAAATAATACAAGAAATTCTAGCCCAAGCAATTAGGCAAGAAAAAAGAAATAAAAGGCAACTTTTAGAAATAATAAATGGATTCAGTAAAATTACATTATATAAAATCATCACTATAAAATTATTTTTCTCTTGCTATATCAACAATAAATTCCTTTTTACATCTGGCCATAAGCCTTATACTCTGTTTAAGCTATTTTAGTTTTACTGGATGTATTCTGATTTTTTCTTGTTCTGCCAAATGCAGTTATTTCTTCCGGAACGTATGATTTATCAGTAAGATCTCACGCAGTCTTGCTGTACTGGGGCTATGATTATTTTCCTTTGCTTTTATAACTGTCTAAAGAACATGTTAAAATATTTCCTTAATAGTTGCATATATTTTCTAAATATACTTTAGCTAGTTAATTCCACATCTAGCTAGGGGTGGAAAGAGTGACAACTTTATTTTTAATATTTTTCTGAAGTTTTCTTTGTCCTTTTAATTTTAAACTTTCATTTAAAAAATGTATGAATTCTTTTTAGGGCACCACATTACCAAGTAAACATGAGGAATTCCAGAGGAGTTATGAATATTCTTAATAAACAGAAATGTTTGTCCCTATGTTCTATGGGAACCTGAGACCAAAAGAAGGACTTGAGTGGCCTACACAATGTAACACTCAAATATCCACATCTTTTTTATCAAATAATCAGAACACACTTGGACTAGAAAAACTGTGTTTCCAAATTTTAAAAGTTTCTATTGCCTCCTGCATTTTTCTTTAAGAGGAACCTTCAGCCAGCCCATGTTTTCCTATGATTTTCTATTCTCTGATCAAACTTACTCCCAGAAAGAAGCTTTTCTAATTTAGGTATGTAGTTCAGACTGTGTAGTACAACTTTCTGGGAGATTTTATTTTAATCCTTCTCTGTGTTTGTGAAATGAAAGTTGTTGTTCCCTGTGAAGTCACTAGCTAGCAGGTGGTATAGCTCATTGGGGAAATAGTAAAGGTCCTCCCAGAGCCCTTTAAATGCTCTCATAGAGCCACAGTCTATTCTGTCTCTATATAAAACAACTGTATATCTGAATAATGACTCAGTTCTTCCCTCCAGCTGTTAATGTTGGCATCCCACAGAGTCTGAATTTAGAATCCAATGCAAACTCTGAAGCTATATCTTTTATTGCAGACAATATGAACACATTGTCTGAGGTTTCTGATCAGATTTGGACCCAGAATTTAGATTTTGGCCCACTGATTGCTATGGAACTTTTGGTGGGCTAGTTGTGCCTCACCACTTTCCTTTCCAATATGTGGAGTCTAATTCTTAATCCACAGGATGATATCAAAATAGAAGAGGTGTAGATTTCTAGCTTAGCACAATGCCCAGACTATAGAGATTTATTAGGCATCATCTTTACTCTCCTTCATTGCAAGTCTAAACTTCTGAAGTTTGTCTATATTTTTATTCTAGATTTTGTTCACAGTCTCTATTTTTGAAGGACATTGGTGGTAAAGGTAAAAAGGATGTAGAACAAAACTAACATGAGTGTCTACTCTCCATAGGGACTACAAAATACCGCAGCCTTTCTAGTAATCTGCAGTGTATACAACTATGATCAACTCATGCCTTGACCAAGGAAGACACTTATTCATATTTTTATATATTTTAAAGCTGCCTAGTATACATATTGATCAGTGAAATCATATAATTATCTTTCCAAATGTTCAGTAACTGCTTGGGATTCCTAAATCCCTCTGCTTCTATGGCTTTAGCCAGAGTAGAACACACTCTGTTCAGACTCTAGTCTAGACTGCACATGACAGAGAGCTTGGCTGTGATGATCTGCAAATATATGTACCTTTGCATACACAGGCATACATAAACATAGCTTTCTATATATTTTTCAAGAAAGTCTTAATACAAAATGTAAAATGGAAGTGCAGTATTTGCACTCACTCAGGAGCAAGAACCAACAGTACCACAGTGTCAGAAAATAGCTTATGACTTTCTTTTTGAGTCAGAAAAACTTTGAATCTTTTATGGTGAGTCAGAAAATCTTTGAATCTTTTATGGTGAAATAATGTTGACACTAACTTCTTTCTCATGCATTATGACTATAAAGTGAAAAAAGAAAGCTATATGAGGCTTTCGTTTCAACTATACATATATGGAAGTATTTTTGGTTAAGGATTTATAGATGCAAAGAATTTTAAGTGAAAAGAATGTCTGACTTTTTAAATTCAAAGTGCACAAACATTGAAGGTAGATGCATAATAACACAAAAGTCTTGTTGAACCACTTGTCTAATTCTTTGTGTCTAACCAAAAGGCAAGGTTTTGTGTGAACTTATGGGTATATATTCATATGAGTGTGTGCTTGCTCTCACATATGTGCAAACATTTACTCAGAAATCAGAAGTGGCCACCTACTCACAACCACCACCCACTTAAGAAATGTTTGCTTTCTTAAGTTTACCCCAGCTCACTGGAATTAAATTATCTAAATTATTCAGTACCTAAAAGCACTAAAATGCACATGGGCCCCGTTGGCAGTTATTTTATGCCTATTAAGCTCTGAAGCCCACAATGAAGAAGGAGGGAGCTGGGTTTCTGCCAGCATCACAATACCGCACTGTTCACACATCAAAAACTGTCCAGCAGTGGAGAGTAGAAGCTTCCGGGCTCTAGTTTGCGTGATGCCAGTTTGGTAGCACACCTCTGAGGTTTCTTTTCTTTTCTTTCTTTATTTATTTAGGTACCAGGGATTGAACTTGTCTGAGGTTTCTTTTAAAAGAAGAGGGAATAGAATGTGTTAAAATATGGATAGTGAATTTTACCCTCTCTCCTTCACAAAACTAATGAACATACTTTCCAAAATGACCCAATCTAAAATTTAGATCACATTTTGGTTTTGCCATTCTTGCTAGGTTTAGCAGTGAGGTCTCAGTCCAGAGGTAAGAGAATACCTAGCTTTGTTTCTCCAAAAGGGCTCACTACACTTCCACCTAAGCACATTTAGTTTTAATGCCTTTATATGAAATAAATTTACATTGGTTAATAATAAGATATAATTCCTTTTGTAGTTTGCTAATTGTCCCTCATCCAAGGACATGTTTCCCAAACCTCACTAATAAATAAGGTTTAGAAGAGGTGTGGGGGGGCAGGGGAAAAGGAGGTTTCTCTGTATTTCTCCTTTGGGTAAAACAAAGAGCACTTGAATGCTATTAGAATTTACCAACTTGGTATGAAATAGATTAAAGTCCAGTGTGCATGTGTGGGTACACACTATGGATGCAGTGAGCATTTGATTATTTACTATCAAACACTCAATGACACATTACAGTCTATAAGGTAAGTCATTCATGCAAGTCAAATATTCATACAAATTGGGCAAAGTATGGAGAAGAGCCACAAAAATGATTGAGGGATGAAGACTCTAGCATATGAGGTGAGATTAAAAGAATGAAGTGTGTGTAGGTTTGTGAAGTTGCTGCTAAAAAGCAGTGGTATCACAGCTTCTGCCTCAGGGCTGTAAACCCCCAAAGAGGAATTTGCAGGGCAGTAAAAGGGGCATTACTGAGAAGGAAATGAGCAGAGAGCAGTTGTCTGCATATCAGAGAAAAAAGTTTGTTGGAGTGGAAGCTATTAGGCAGCAGAATTACCTCTCCAGGGGGAAAGTAGATTCTGTGACCCCATTATAGGGGACATAAAGCCTGGCTGGATAGTCCAGTTCCCCAATATGCTATAGGGAAGGCTTCTTTTAGGCTCCTTGGAGACATAGAAGGAATGGAAGGAGCAATGTGACTCATTCATATCTTGCCATTTATGATTTTCGACTTGTGCTGAGATGAATACTGAAATCAAGATACTCCAGCTACCTAGATCTGATGCCAAGGGTAGATTTTATAATTCTCTGATACACACTTAAGTATTATCATCAGACTATCTTTTCCTAAACCTTTGATATATTTAAGTGAAATAAAACTTCTACATTGCTTTGGAAACAGCATCATTTGATGCATGCTTTAATCTAGAGATATTTCCCCAAATATTTTTTAAAACATGCATGTGTGTCCTGTGGGGAGTCAGGTAGAAAATGAACCTATTTGAACTGCAATTCATCTCAAAGTGAACTGTTTTTATGCAGCCTATGCGGTGTGTGTGCATGCTAAATCTGCAGGCATGCTAATGGAATATTAATACATTCCTACTAGAGAGACAGAAAAAGATTTGAAAGGAAACAAAAAAAGTAGGATATAAAGGGAAGAACAAATGAAAGAAATTGGATCCAGTTGGATTGTGGGGTCTTAGCCACAACCCCCTGGGGGAAGGACAGAGGAAAAAAGAAGCACTGCTTTCTCTTTATCTTGCCAGCAATTACTGGCAATTTGTTCTGGCCAGTAAAACTTCTGATATTATCATGGTTGCTGAGTAATTTATCATCAAAGTTTAATGTGAAAACAGGTGACTGTGTAATCACCAATCTAGGAACAGAAATAGAATCGTTATTATTTCTGCCTGAAGAGAGAGATTTTTTTTTTTCTGTCAATTGACTTAACGGCCAAAAGGCTGTTCATCATATCACCATGAATTATAAAACCTCTATTAAATATTCATAAAAGTTTTGAAATGAATGTGTGATAGAGATGAAAGCTGGGCTAATTTAAATACCTACCAGACCTGTCTTAATTACAGAGGTAAAATGAGATATAAAAATTATAGCAGCAAGAAAAAAAACTTGAAACAGTTCATTCCATACATTATAGAAAATGCCTTTGCAAGCTACCACACGCAAAGTCAAGAGCTGTTGGTTTCCGCCTCACTTAAGGCACTACTAAAATGGAGGTGGCTGTGTCTTTCTTCTATAGGAAGTAGAAGGGGATCTTGGGAACTTGGGCCAAATGATTTCTGCTCTCTCTCTCCAACCTGTAAATAAAATTATCAACTATAGACATGACTTCCTTTAGAACCACTCAACTTGAAAACCTCAGCAAAAGTCAACTGGACCTGCATGAAGTCTGCCTCGGACCAAAAGGAAGACAATAAAATTTCCTCAATTTTTTTCATACTATGATTTGTGTGGATCTCATGTGCTTGTAAAATTGCCACAGGGGGTGGTTCCAGGCTTTTAAATTTTTTTTTAAAGCTTGCACTCTTTTCACCTCTTCTGCCATTTTAAGAGACACATTCTCATGATGTGGTAGGAGAATTTGAAGAGAAACAGTCAGAAACAAAGTTATAGCCATGTTTTCAAATAGCCTTAAATGTAACTTTCTAAGCAAAGGCATGCTCCATTCCTCCCACATTATCTAATACAAGTGTGGTTAGAGCTTTGACCTTGAATCTTTAGGAAAATCTGAAACTTGACATTAAGGGTTATAGTATATATGCGCATAGATCATTAGGACACAGGTGGCACATGTTCCAGTATGATCCTGTGCTCTCAAATATGTTTTCACTGAATACAGATATAGTTATGAGCATAAAGAACAAAAAAGAACAGGACACTTTGGGGACATAGAACTGTGTTATATCATGATAGACTCTCAGACTAAAAGTCAGGAGGCACCAGCTGGCTTGACCTTGTGCAATGCACTTCACCTTGCTGAATCCCAGAGCCGACATCTGTAAAACGAGGGCATTAATTTGGTAGTGGCTAAAGACCCATCCAACTCTAAAATTCTGTGAGTCTACAATTATAAATAGGATGATAAGATGCTCTCTGGCTCTTAGGCTGCCACCCAGGAGAATGAATTCCAGTTTTAATTTCCTTTTTGGTGATAGGAAATCTGAAGACAGGCAAGGTTAAATGACCCACCCGGAGGCCCAGAGCAATCAGCAGTGGAATCACATCAGCTCCCAGCCCTGGCTCCTCGCTTCCAGTTTCATCAACTTATTGAGGCTAAGTCTTTCAGGCTGTTTGTTAGTATCATACTGGCTTAATCATATTGACATTATGGGTGTTACCAGTGACTAAGTAGAAAAGTTCTGTTTTTTCAGATATGTAACATATGGGTATTGTTTCCTCAATGAAATTCAGGCTCCTGAGGACACATACATGACGGGCTATGTAGGATTATGTTTGCTTAATGATATTTAATGCCTTGTTTGATATCACAAATAATGTATAAAACGTTGAAATTAAAAACATGGGAATAATATTCAGTAAAATCCAAGGAGGAAAATTTCGGCTTTGCAGTCACTGAAAAGCACCTGAAAACAATAGTTGGGGAAAATATGTATTTCTCTCTTCTTCCTATTCTTTTCTTTTCTCCCGCTCTTCCCAAATTCAGTGCATTCTCTTAATTTCATCAATCCTCTTTTCTCCAACCTTTTATCTTTGTTCCTGTCAGTCTGCCAGTAACCTTTCTGTTCATTGCTTAAATATCTCTGATCATTTCTCTCAACCAAAGCAGTTAGTGTGCTACCCAGAGCCCTCCAGTGATTCACACTGCTTTCGGGGTGATTCAATATGCTGGGGTGCATGGTATATCAGAGTTGCCAGAAATCAAGTAAGAGTGAGAGGTTTTAAATACGATAACACTGTTGCATACATTGCTCTTAGGCTGGAGGCCTGTAGTTTTAGAGAAGACGAATAAGTTCAAGTGCAAGTTGAGATTTGATCTTAGGTCAGAGTGCTGTAAGAAAAGAAAGGAGAATGACTGATCACTAAAAACAAAGAAACAAACAGATAAAGTAATGTCACAAGGGTATAGTGGAATGGACTTCGTGATGACAACTGCTTTATGTATGGACTGGGAAGTCACCAAAACATCTTAAAATAATACAATTTACAATACAATCTCTTCTTCCTCTGCCCTTCCACATTTCTGTACATCCCTTTACTTGCGTCAGAATGTAGATAATACAGCACTATTTAGTTTTCTAGTCTGTGATGCTTGATTGATTGTGTCAACTGGAGAAGTTTGCTTAAGAGAAGCTGATCTAAATGGGCTGAGTAATTCCACGCCCTAGGGTGGCTCCTTGCCTGGATGGTATAAAGGGGAGATGAGGAGGGACGATACTACTTCTGTCCCTTCAGAGGAGCACCATTGTTTGCCTTTACCTTGGGCATCATCTTCTGGCTTCTAGAACAGACTTTTCTGCTTCTGACATGGGTCCTTCAGCCTCCAGCCACAGACCCATTGGCCTCTTGAAACAGATTTCCACAAGACACGGCAGTAAGCTCCAGACCTTAGTCCAAACCATTCTGTTTCCAGGGTGCAGACAGATCCTCTGGACTCTTCCTCATCTGACTCTGTGGGTAGCCATTGTAAGCCAATCTCATCAATTCATATATATTTATATATCTTATGTTATATCTGTCTCTCTAGTAACTACTAACTGATACACAGTCTTTTATTCAATTGCTGTAGATGTGATTTCAAAGTTGTCTGAAAATTTCACGCACTGTTTTGTTCAGGAGAATTTTAATTTTATTCACACTTACATACTTGATTAAGAATCCAGAATCTAACACAATGGCAGGATAGAGGCTACCTGATGCATTTCCTTAGATATATAATGTTTAGATTTTTACTGCATTAAAAAATACATCTATAAAACTTAGTGATTTAAAACAACCACATCCTTATGTCTTGTGATTGTGTTAGTTGATTAGATTTGTTTGACCCATTCCTTTGATCCTGGTGAAAATGCAAGATGTGCAGGTACCTAGGGCCCAGTTGCTCTGGACCTTTGGGTGAGTCATGTGCTGATGCATGACTAGCAATTGGCGCTGGCTGTCAGCTATTGGAGGGAGTGCTTGTTGTGTAGAAAACATACTCCTTTCTACATGGACTTTCCATATACCTTTGGCATTTCACAGCATGATAATGGGTTAGTTAGAGCACTAGAGTAGAACTTTCAATTCCCTCTGAGGCCAAAGCCTTGAATTGGTAGAGTTCCACTTCATCACCCCATTGGTTAAATCAAGTCACAGGCTCAGCACAGTGAAGTGAGGGAGCATAAAGGGTATAAGGAACAATTCAGTTGAATGTATCAACATAATGACCAACTGTAGATAGGTGATAGAAAAGATAAGCAGACAATAGTAACAGTAGGAAGCATATAGACAAAATTTTAAAGGAACCGCACAATGATATCTCTGTAAGAGAATAATGTGCACATCATAGAGTGACATACAGTGCAGAGGATATGTTCTCTTGCTCAGTAGCATAGTGGCTAAAAGTATAATTTTCTAAATGCAGATCTCCCTGGAACATTCTTGAATTGCGTTGCTGACAAATAAATGATATCAAAAGCAAAAGACGTGTCTGGATATATTATTTCTTGTAAATCTATTTGGAATCAATAAGGAATCACCACTTAGCAATGCTAGAATCAACATAATCTTTGCATATATATATATATATATATATATTCTTTTATTCAGCTACAAGTAATCATAATGTTACTTTAAAGTAGCTGGTGATTTTTATATGAAGTGGTAGTTGATTAAACAAAAGATAAAATCAGTAGGGAGAATGATCTGTGCTTAATTTAGAAGGATATTTTTCAAATATTAGACTGTTCTCCAGTGAAATATGTTTTGCGTGGTAGTGAGCCTATCATCTTTGAAATTCTTTCAGCCCATTCAGATAGTAACAGTTTCATCAGAAATACATCCATTTCTATTTTAAGTTGATTTAGCAAGAATATGGATAGCCTGAGTTCAAATATAAACTTGAAGAGATTTTAATCAGAAGTCAAAGCAAAATATCACTGTGTTTATTTTTAAGTATTACAAAAAGACTAGAAGCACAACAATAATAATATTATTGATATTTAGCACCTGTGTGATAAAAATAACATGAAGACAGATGGAAAAGAAACAAGGAACAACAGCAAATAAAGTTCTTGAAAGGTTTGGACTCCTCATATAATACTATGTTCTTTCAAATAAATGTCATACCTACACAAAAAGAAAAGCTTGACTTGATGGGAAAAAAAAATCCACATTTCAGTCATGCAGCTTGATATTTTGGTTGCATGACACCAAGGAACCAGCAAGAGCAGCTGCTACTAACGTTTCCTAATGAATTGGCGGTTCCTTTTTTCTTTAACTTCAGTGCAAGATGGGATTCCTGAAGGAAGTAGAGAGCTATGAGGAGCTCCTCTATCAGAAGCCTAGGCCTCATCATGCAGGGCTCACTATGCAGCAGCTATGAGACTTACAAGCCAGATGCCCCCTAGAATGCACACCATTCTTCTAGCAGTCAGGAGAGGAAAGACCTCACTCTCTGTGGGCAAGTTGTATTCAATCTACTTAATTGTTTACTAACAGCCCATTTCCATGATGGAGATGAAGACATCTAGCTAATGCCCCTCATGCAGTAGTTCTTAAAGACACAGACATGACTGCAAGTAGAATTTGGTTGAGAAAAACGTAGTTGAGAAATACATTTAGCAATCACTTGTTAGTTATTTTCTAAATAATAATAACTTCATCGTTCTTTTGAATTCTTTGAAAATTCAACTTTTTGAGAAAGCAATTTCTGTCCTTGTAAAAACATGTGTTTTTATTTAAATTAGTTCCTCTGCCTATTTAAAATTATTCAGTAATGTTAGTTTCTCATCTCTGAGTCAAATTTTTATTTTAGCTATATATTTCTAAAATACATACAAGCAGCAGATTGCCCTCTTGCTGTTCAAAGTAGATCTAGGGTCTACTTTGAAATACTAACTGTGATTATTTTATTGTAGAAAAGATGAACGGAGCCCTCAAAACACTAGGATGCCTGAATTAATGGTCACTCACTTTAACTACTTACGCATTTCCCAGAGGGCATTTATCAGCACCTCTAAGGGCTGCCAGCCCAGACTTAGCACAAATACCACCCACCCCTCCCAGGGAGAGAAGTCAGGTGCTTGGCACCTGGTTTAAACTGCACAACTCTCAGGTTCATGCACTGAAAACAAGGTGAGGAATGAAGAAATGAATTTCAGCAACTTATGCAGCACCTCAGAAATACTAATAAAGTCACCTTTCTTGTTTGATTTTGACCTTTAGATTATATTAACATCAAGCCCAATTCATTCTCCACATGATTTTTTCCTGTTATTCCAAATTTTCCCACTGAAGGATATAATATTTCATTTTCTCATCCTTATACTTTCAATCTGATGTTTATTCTTAAATCATAACTGTGCCTCTTATTTTATATACAACTTAGAAATAATGTCATACAAGAATGTCTTTAGCTGCAAGAAGCTAAAATTCCCACCTAGGTTAAGATAGGCCAATATTCACTAACTGATACACAAGGTAAGTGCCCATAGGATAAATTAGATATTGCCTCACATTTTTCTTATCCTTTAAGTAAGATTATTCAACTTTTTCTATATCTTTATACAAGATTGCTCATTTTTCGTTCTGTCTTCAGTCCATTCAGTTTGTCCTTACACTTTCACTTCATTCAGTCAACTAGGCAATGGCACAATCCATCTTGCTGAGTCCAAGGGATATGTCTCTGACATTCTTTACACTATTATCACCTTTTCACATCGTTGGCCACTCCTTGGTGACATCATAATCAGCTCTGCTGGCAGCTGCACCTAGTTCTTGTTTGCTGGTTCTTCCTTTATTGTCTGACTTCTAAATGTTGGAGTACTCCAGGTCTCCAAGTATTCTATTAAAAACATAATTTTTACTCACATTTGCAACTATTTTTTAACAAAAACACTCAAATTATACTATAAAATGCTATTAAAAATAGTATATTTCCTATGTATCTCTAACTCCTACCCAGAGGTATCTAGTTTTGATTCTCTTAACAATTTCTTCTGGAAATTCTTTTCATATTTTAACACTTTTCAATATCTCAATATACCAATTTTATGTATTATATCTATAAATTTATATTTTTCCATGGAAGATAGATATTTCACTGTCTTACTCAATACCTCTATTTATCTTCTCTTATAGTTCCCAAAAGAAATATATTGAGTAGTTTGGTTGAGCTCATTTTACCATTTAATTCAATGTCATTAGTAAGCAATACTGAATCAAATTGTGTGCAAATATTCTGTTTTGCTTTTTGAATCATTATTTTTTGTGTCTACTACCCTTCCTTTTTTCCCATTTTCTTACCTATGTTCCTGTATTAGTGTTTTCTTCCAAACTCCCAAACAGAATGATTCAATATATTTCAATATTTCTCTCTTGAAGAATTTGTAATTACTATATATTTTTAGCTTTTCTCATTGGTGATGTTATGTACACCAGCAGAAGATATAGTATAGGGTTACCATTTTACCCTCTGCTCAATATACATGTGTGTATCAATATATTTTTATAAATATATATTTATTATATATTATACACACAGATAGATGATAGATAGCAATTGCACTAATTTTGGGACCTATTAATGAGAATTCAGATAGCATAAATACATTTGTTATAAACAAATGAAGAGAGCTTCAGAACGAATGGATCATTGCACTGATTTATCAGGAGTCTATTAATATTTCTATAGGTAACACATGAAAGTAGCATTACTTTTATTTGGACAAATGGACTTCTACAGTATTTTTGTCAAAAACGTTTCAAAGTTTTCAAAGGTGACTTCTGTGTTGTGTTGCTGACATAACGTTACTGGACAAGGTGAGGAACACTGGGAATGGAAGGTTACCACAAAGGTGCATGAATGGTGTTTGATGTCTTTGACTGTTGATTTTCAGCTTAATGTATAAACTCAGCTAATTTTGATAAAGAAAGGATATGAATCTATGGGTAGTTTTCTAATCAGGAATAAGTTTAGCTGCAATATCTTCCAGCAGAAGAGTTTCTGTTTAGAGCAATACAGGTATAGATAATTAACTCACCATACAGAGGAGAAACAGATGTGCCCTACTCGCCTGTTTATTAAACACACACACACAGTCACAACCTCTGTTCTTGCCCCTACTCTACCAGCACCAATTTTGCCACTGACCAAAAGTACCATTCATTTCTCATGTCAGTGTAAGAGGCCAGAAAAGTTAGATAGTATTTCAAAATTGCTCACTTATGTATACACAATGTCTTAATTTGGGGTGAATTTCTTCAATGTGCGTTTGTGAGCCAAACCTTTCTAGATTCACACAAAATGAACTGTATGAACATCAGCTTCTGCTCTCTGTCACATATTTACTTATACTATGAGTTACGTTGACCGATTAAACAGTATTATAAAATCAAAAAGTAAGTAAAGAATGCCCTGCACTTATGTATATAGTTTCTTTATATCTTTCAGTTGACTCACTTAGGAAGAGGAAGGACTGAAATGTCTTGTTAAATCCTGGGATTTACCCAGAGACATTTTAATTCATCTCCCTGCTCCTTTTAGAAGTCTGGAAAGATGGACTATTCAGACACAGATTTTTCAACTTTCACTTCTACTCTGTCATTAGGACCTGGTGATATGACTAGCGTTATTATTTATTAATTACAAAGAGACCACGACTTTCCTGTCAGATGCTTATTTAGCAAATGGTGCAAGAACTTTTCTTGCTTTCATAAGTTGCCCCCACTCCAAATGAGAGGTGAAAATGGAAAAAGACCACTATACTCAGACAAAGCACAAGCAGACTTCATTCACTGCAGTAACTTCAGGATTTATAGACAAGTCTGTGTGCCTGCACAGGGGCTGAAAATATAGGAGAAATTTAAAAATCAGATAATTATAGTCTGCAATCGGCTCCAATAAAACTGTGAGCAACTGGAAACATGCATGAATTATTGGAGAATAACTTACAGGTTTATAGGATCAGATAGTGAATGAATAGTATTCACCAAAGAAGAATAATAAGTTCAGAATCAGATGTGTTGGAGTTACCACCAAAAGAAAAGAAGAAGGACTTTGGAAAAATAATTGAAGCTGTGCATTTTCTGCAGGGTAAAGTTTACATAGATGAAAGACAACAAGAAGACCCTTAAACAAAGATATAAGCATGGAGTAGGAGTCCTATTTGGAGAGGATATGGGAGCAGAATTTGCAAGTGGGGGAGGGGTAATTAGAAGTAAGAATCATATCCAACTGCCATTCCTGAGTTTGGAAAAGTGACCCAGAATCAGTTCCCAGATAGGAAGAGATTGCAGGTCCTACCTGGCTTGTACACATCAAAAATCCATGGAACAGTGCCTGTTCTCTGTATTCACCAAACCTACAATCAACACTATATCCCTCATGCTTAGACTGCAGTTCTTGAATTCATGGATGATGGACTAGAGTGAGAACAGCAGATGACTCCATGAAAGTGCCGTCAGCATGTGTGCTTTTCTGAGAGACAGTGTCCTTATTGTACATTCCTCCTCCTCTGACAAAGATGAAAATCACCGCAATAACATCAGTGACAATGGTACCAGCTGATATTACGGAGAATTTAACAGGCACTGATCTATGCAGTTTCCATAAGAATTGATTTATGTAGCTTTTCAATGTAGAATGTATTTTCTTTTATTATATCAACTTTTGCAATAATCATAAACACTAAAAGCAAAAAATGCATCCCTACCTTCATTGCTGTGTAATGTCCTAAGCACTTTATCCAGAGTTTTGCATGTATTGGCTTGAATTTTCTACTTAGCCCAATGGCAATAAAATCATTTTGTCAGGATTTTGCAGGTGAGAAAACTGAAACACAATGTTCAGTACCTTGCAAAACCCTCAGTTCCTAAATGCCAGAATCAAATTTAGTAACTGTTCCAACTCCAAATATCTTCACACCTTAAATTTCCATGGATGCGAAGCACTGAGCATTGACATCTTAAACATAGACTTTGGTTTTCCTGATCTCTGCCTTAGAGAAAATTATACCTTCCAGCATCAATTTTGACCATAAGTGTTCTGAACTGTAGTGCATCTTCTGCAATGGTGCTGCTTCTTTTTTGTCTGCAGATCCCTAGAGGCCCAGCCCTGAGAGACAGCCATGGACATGTGGCCCAGTTTTAATCAACGTGGACACCAGGAATGGAACTTTCCCCATGGTATTTCTATATTTCTTCTTCTGGCCCTAGGTAATACATAGAATCACAATAGAGCGAGGAACAATTTCTACAGAGAGAAGAAAAATAAGTTAGGAGAATTTCTTCCTGAATTTCCAAACACCTGCCACTTAGACAAGATTTTACTTTGGTGCCCTTCTCTGTGTCAGCTTACTTTCTCTATGGATGTGCACTGACAGATTAGTGGTTGATGTTTGATTTGACAAAACCGGGTTTCCCTTTGAGTATAATTGTTTACTGCTATAAAAGAAAAAGTTATCTATTGTGAATAGTAAAAGTGGAATGTGCATCGTCCTTATTTTAATGGCATTTTGGAAGATTTCTCATGAAAGTGATGACTATATCTCAAAGATTAAAGCCCTATAAAATTAGTGCTGGAAAGGAAATTCCTTTCACTATTGAGAAAAACAGAGACAATCTCAGAGAAGTTTAAGTGTCTTATTTGAATTCACCTTAAATTCCAATTTGTAGCCATTGGCTATCTTATATAGCACTTTACAGTATTTTCTCTTTTTTTTAGCATTTTCTTTTATATATTATTTTCTATTTTATAAATTGTTATTTTTTCAACTTATATCTACTTAATTGTTCACAACATAATGCAAGGGTCTCAAGAAAGATGTGAAGGGTAATACATTATCTGAGAGAATTTAGACAGAAACAAAAACAAATACGTTAGTGATAGAGTGCATATAGTGAAAATATGGCCAACTACAATTTTATTTTCTCTTTCATAAGAACCACATCAAAGACCTGTGAAGGGCTTGTTCTGAATCTTTAATCTAAAACAACTGAATATTTGGAAAGAACATCCACAATTATGAGAATAATATATAAATAATCAAGCATTAACATGTCACCTATTTACATTTATTAGGCCAATAAAATCAGTGTTTTGAAATGAGCCATTTGCCTACAATCCCATTAGTGGTCTGTTTTCTGAGAAGGCTGGGGAAGTACAGGATTGTATATGCTCTTAACAAGAAGAGAAAAAACAATTTGAAGTAGTGATGCATAGCCTGACAGTTGGAAATGGTGAAGTATTTCAAAACATCACCAAATTACCCTCAAAAGAACTTCTCATCACATAGAGTTTGTGGAGACCATTTGTTTTTCATTTGAATAGCTCCTGAGGACATTCCGTCGTTACCCAAAAATTCATACTTTTAATATCAAGTTGGATCACAGTTAAACTATTATGTCTGAGTTATCTTTAAATATGTTCTACTTGCACTCTCACGAGAAGAACAACTTGAGGCAAAGGTCAATTATCTGGAAAATGATTGGTTGTTATGGAATTGCTGAACGTTTTTTTATTTGAACAGCTAAAGCAATAATAAATATTGTTCTGTCTCTAGAGAAATCAGAAAGCTGAAGAAAAAGATATCTGATGGGAAACTTTGTCTCTTTTATATTGGGAATGGTGTGCCATGAGCCACATTTTGGGTTAAATTTAAGAAAGAACAAAATTAATTT